GCCTTGCCTTGCCTGCGTTTTCGGCTCTTTTGTCTCGCTTCGGCTTTGATTTCATCAACTTGTCAATTGGAAATATATATATTTCTATATTTACTATTCATCGTCGCTATTACCATATTGTTCGGAACGAGAAACCTGATGAAAATTTCAATTTGGTTGACTCTGCGGTTGGCGCTATTAGTTGATTATAAATCAGTCATCAGTCAGAGCAAAAGTTGTTATACATATATAGATTTGTTTATTCTCTGTTATATGTTAATTTATGCCACATATGAAATGCATAGAATTTTAATACAAATATATATATAAGCCGATGATCTAAGCGCTTCTATTTGTCAGCGATGCTAGCATGAGCTAAGCAAGACTTTAACTTTCACTGTTTTTGTCGACTTTTAGTGTTTTCTTGTTAGCACCGGCCAAGGTGCACATCTCTGGAAAGTGCTAATTATTTGTGGGCTAGTGAGCAGCTGTAAGTGCCGCTTGAGAAATATGGCTAGTATTTAAATAAAAAGCATTGCACTCAGCTCGTTTCACATGCCCATTTACACGTGCCGCGGCACAGCATTTACAACAGTCAATCAAGTGGCGACCATGTTTTGCAATTGAAAACGGCCAACACGCTGACGCGACATATACAAGCACTTAGCCAGACGAGCCGTTGTTGGCCACCAATTAGGCGACATTAGGCAGACTGCATTCCTCGACGCCCACAAGGCAAACGCAGCACATGCCAAACTCAACTCAAACAGCTGTGGTTTTAGTGTGTGTGTGTGGGTGTCCAATACAGCGATGATAATGAAGCCGGTAAGCAGCGTCATTAACACCACGCCTTCATTTAGGCCTACGCCCCCGCCTCTGCGATCGACCGTGGCCGTGACTGTGGCTAATTAGCAGTAAAACAAGCGTTGCCACTCAGCTCATCAATATGCAGTTTGTTGGCCTGGTTAGCACTGGAGCAACCTGTCCAAACACTTTCACAAGCGTCGCCCACAGAACGCCCACACAGGCAAAGAGCTGCACGCTTTTTATGAATGAATGAATGCCCACTGAGTGCCGTTGAAAGCGAAACCGAAATCGATTTCAGCTTTGCAGCCGTCACACATAGATGGCGCCACACGACACCGTGAAGAGCGCGCTGTTTAGCTGCCTGATAAGCGTTCTAAATGCTGCGTATCTTATCGCCAATTACAACTAACTGAGTGATGAGCACACTAAGAATTTTGATTCTTTTCCGATCCAGTTGGGTCGAGAACGTGCACACCAAATGGTCGGTCAATCGAAACTGGGCATTTGCTACGCGTATTTCTCAATCTATCGATTCTCTTGGGGCTCGCGACTGGACGAAGGTCAATAGATAATGCTTTGGAATTTCTTATGGTTTGCGGTACTCTGGCTGTTCTATGAGGCAAGAAAGCCTCGGCAGCGCCTGTGCGACGCAAGTGAGTGTGGCAGGGAAAGTGAAGTTATACATTTAAATATATATTAGATATATGTATATTTTTGAGGTGTGGCCGTAATTGCTTATATATATATAGAAATGATAGATAATTTTTTTATTTTTTTTATTTTTATATTGAGATACAAATTTTCATCTACAGCAAAGATTTAAAAATCCACTGTTATCTCAGCTTTTAAGTTTTTATTT